TATGTTAATAGCAAATACTACATATAGTTGATAATACTAGTCAATGCTATATTGACTACATTTGGACTAACTCATTCAATATACAATTCTTTTATTTATATAGACTTAATGATAATAATACTTTTATATTAAATGATCACTTTATTCTTTTCTCTTCTTGAACTTTTACTAATGCATATAATAAACTACTATACTATCATACTGATATTAGTCATAGAATCTTTAACTACAAAGATATGTTTTTAGAAAGTTGGACAAAATTTTCTAACCTTCTTTTTTCTAATCTCAAAATACAAACACTCTACTATACTATAATACAAATAAGAGTATTGAAACCACTTGGCACAAAATTAAATACTCAATTACTAATACTGCAATACATTTTATCTCTAAAAAAAAATTATACAAACATAGCTATAATTATAATACTTCTCTCATTGCATCTTACTTTATTTATCACTTAAAGAACTTAAACACTTAATTAAAATTATAAAAGATTCTAACTACAATTTTAATATTAATTAGATTAATTCAAAAATTTAAAATATTAACTCTAGATCTTAGTACAATATTCATACTCTTATTTTTTATCAATATTTACAATTCAATCAATGGATCCAACATGTACAAAATATTTAAAAACAACTTTACCATGCTTGTCATCTTGAAAACTCTCTTCTGCTTTGACAATAAATCTAACAAGCTACTAAAAAAAGATTAAAATGCTTTTTATATATTCAAAACATGCCATTAATAGCATCCTTAATTATTACAAAGCTTCTATTTGCTTTTCTAATATTAAACTTTCTAACCAAATAGTTACAGATCCAAACCTTATTAAATATCATATACAATTATATTTTCATAATTAAACAGCTTATCAACCAACTAACCAAAGCCTTTTTGATAACTTTTGATCTACACAATATTAACTACTATCATATATCAATACTCAATAGTATAATTTTTTTTCTTCTTCTATTACTGAAAAAGAAGTCACTTAAATTATAGCAAAGCTTTTTAATAGAAAAGCCTGTAGTCCTATAGGCATTAGTTATGAAATGCTTAAACATGCTAGTACCACCTGCATTAAAGCTATAACTGCCTTGTTCAACTGCTGCCTTGCTTCAAATCAAACTTCTAAATAATGAAAGCATAGCAGAATCTACCTTATTCCTAAATGGAATATATTTAATGAAAACCTTGACCTTACTTGCCTAATAAGTCTTATTGAATACACTCACAAAATTTATACAAAAATTATTACTAATAGAATTAGTAATATATTTTCAAAACATTCTATACTTTTACTATACAACTATGTTGTCTTATCTAATAACAGTACTTCTACATCTATCTATATACTTAACAATATTACTGAGAATGCATTATGCAACCAAAAACCATCTGGCTTTTATTTTAAGATATGAGTAAAGCTTATAATTCTGTTAATTTGAATCTTTTTCAATATTCTTTTTAGCATTTTACATTTTCTAGTTCTATTATTAACACTATTATTAACTTATTTATTGACTAACAAAATCAAGTTATCACAAATCTTGGCCTTACACTTTTATATCCTGTACTTAATGGTAATGATCAGAGTGAAACTATTACTTTTCTCTTGTGGAGAATTTATTGTGACCCACTCATTTTATATATTCACAATAACTTTAATGGTTATTTCACAAAAGTTTTCTGACCAACTAATCTTAAAGATCTAACACATAACAAACTTGAATCACACTGTTCAGTTCTTGCTTATATGGATGACACTTTTTGGATTGCATCTTTACAACAAGAGTTTTTACAAATTTTTAACATAGTAGAATCTTTCTACAATATAGCCAACATTCAAATTAATTTTACTAAATCTATACTTATAACTAATGAACTTTTAATCAACTACAATCCTATTATATACAATAATCATTTACTTAACTTTTATCCTTAAGGGTGTGGCAACTTAGCAAAGTGAATAAGTTGTCATTTCTTCAAGTAGTAGGTTGTGAGTTCAAAACCCACTGACATTGAAATTTGAATAATCACCTATATAATATATAGACAGTATTATAGTGACAGCATTCTGTTGATCAGTTGGGATAGAATACCTGTAGCTATGATTGTACTAGCATAAGTGGCAGGTCTGAACATCTGTGTAATCTGTTATACAGAGGAATGCAAACTAGTACTGAGTAGTGCAAATCTAAAATAAGTTCTTAAGCTGTATAAATTTATAAACTGAAAAGCCAGAGCTCATTTGGAAATTCTGAATAGAGAGGTAACATGGATCTTTAACAGTATTACTGTAAATGCTAGACCTAAGAAATAAATACTAATATAGAGAAATCAGACAGACAAAACCCTTAGATAAGAAATACTACCAACCAGGCTGCCAGATTTCTGACTGAAGAAAAAGGATATTGGGCTGGCCTTAATATATCAAAAACAGATCATAGTCCTTCTGAACTATCTGAATTGGGAATCTGAGCTCAAAGTAGGGGTATACTAAAAGTACTAGAGATATGCTATGAAGTCAGTATCAGGATCTGGGTAAACTTTGTAAGAGTAGCCCTTGTTAGTGTTTTAAAAGTGAGTAGATAGTTAAAAATAAGGGCACCTTGCACTTTACTGGCAGGTAACATATTTTAAAATATGTAATGGTCTGGGAACTAGTACAAAAAGAATAGGTACTATACTGCTCAGATAGTATACTGGTTAGATATATACAGAGGGTTAGTTGGGATTACATCATAATAGAGTGGATAATCAAAAGGTTTAAATGAATAATTTCCTAGTAGGTTATAAGTATGGTATCTAGTATAGAACATTTTAGTGAACTACTTAAATAGGCAACCAAAAGTTGTACATGTGACTAGTTGTACTTTCATCTTTATAAAAATAGTTGTAATAACTAATCAAATAAAAGTCAATAAAGTATCATCACAAAGTATGGCCTTTAACAAAAAAAAAAAAAAAAAACTCATACTCTTCAAGCAAACTATTTAAGTTTTAGGATGCTAGTTTACACTTAATAATCAACAAACAAAACAAACAAAGCTTATTATAGCTAAGTCTTCACATCTTATTAAAATTGTAAACACTAAACAAATTACTGATATACATGTGCAATACATTATTAATATAGTTATTATTTCTACAATTGAATATTGCCTTCACAACATAATTCTTAACCAAAACACTTGTAGCAAAATCCTTATAAACTATATTGAACTTGTTAAAAATAAAGCCAAACTTAGTCATACAACTTCTACTAGTACTTTGCTTCATTTTCAATTATATAATATTTGCATTATATAAAATATTCAACTTTAATATTATATCACAAACTATACCAAAAGACTTAATTCTTCTAATCTTCTTGGTATTAGTACTCATATTTGACTTTAGCAATTTCAAAATAATCTTTGGTCACCTACTAGTATACTAATATACAACAATCTTATTATTAATAAACCAAACAAATATTCTATTAACTTTAAAATTATTTAACTCTTTAAATATTTTGATATAACATTTATCTCTAATTCAACTTAAAACATTCCAAATACTATTCAAGAGGGCTCTATCTCATTAAAATCTCTTCTTTGTTTATATTCTAAATACTTAATCTTTAAAAAACAACTCAAATATTATATAGTATTCTATATTTAGACTAACTTACTACATTTGATAATTTATACTTACTAAATGGAAAACATATTTCTTTTTATATTCATAAAATTTCAAAAGACAAACAACCTCTTTGGTTTACTTATTTAGAAAACAAAGTTACAAGTTATTTTTAAAACTATACACTATCTTTATATTTACACCTATCTAATACTAACTACTATAACATACAACTAAATACTTCTTATCATATAAAAAACTCTGGCTTATTACAGTACTTAATAACTAAATCATTACTAGTAAAGTCAAAAGACAATCTTTTTAATCTGGTACTGTACTTATAACTTATTGGCAATATCAAATTAAATCACAATTTACCTGCTTATATCCTTTTGCACCTATTCAATCACATGCATGTTTTTGCTATTTTCTTAATTTATATACAATTAATAACAAATATACAATCACTATTTCTACTAATCTTTCAATTTAATTTATTGGTCAAATCAATACAAATAACAAAACTCTTAACTTTAATGCCAATCATTTGGACCTCTTATACTTAGTTACTATTAGACACCCTATCTAAAACTTCAAGTTCATCTAATATTATCATTTAATATACTCAATTTCAATTATCATTAAATTCTATACACTAACTTATAAACTTCAACAAATTGCTGATTACAAACTAATTAACAAGAACTCTACTCCTATACTGATGCTCTATAAAAAAGTTTGTGTAACAAATGTTCTAAAAATATTCTAAAATTGTTTAGTTGTATATTCAGTGTTTTATTCAATTTTTGTTCAAAAAAAATGTTCAGAATGAAGTTGATTTTCCAAACAATTTTTCAAACAATTTTCCAAACAATAATTTATATAATATATACAGATGTTTGAATAATTTTATTTAAATTTCGACTTATAAATATTATAGAGTTGTGTAATTAATATATATTATTATTGAATTCTGTAAACTGATTATATTCAACATATATTTTACTATTATTACAAAATAATATTTATATAATCATTATTTTATTCAATTTTCATACATGTAATATGCTAAATCTGTGCAATTAAAATTCCGATAAATAAAATATATATACTGTTAAATCATGTTTTTACTATGCACATAATTCATTACTAGTGAAAGTATTTGTTTTTAAATTCATCAAGCATATCTGCACTATATCTTTAGAAATTAAACAATCTTTTCATCAATTCTATAAATCTATTTATATTTTTTTGCTTTTCCTACAAATAAAGTTAGAATTAATTTCGATTTATTAACATACATAAATATTATTCATAAATAATTATATCATACTATTAGTTTTTGTTTTACTAGACATTTTTAAAGATCATCCTTTAGTAGGCCCAGTATTATCTTCTATGCATCTAGTTTTTGTAGTTTCACTACTTTCTTCAGTTTGTGCAGGTGTTCTATTTATATAATATTATAGATCCATAAAACTATTTATCAAATTATTTTGAAATTCAATAAACTAGCATACTTGGAAGCATGATCATGTAGTTGGCAGCCAGAATTTTGAGACATCTTGTTAGATTTGCCTGCTAATTCAATGGCATCATTTGGATCTCTATCTTGGATTTCGTGATTGGTATTTTGGTGTCAAAGGACAGTTAACAGAACATGAGATGAAGAAGTCAAATGAGCATTCTTCATATTATTTGCTAAACTTGAGGTTTCAACAACTTCTAAGAGTTAATCCTGCTCAATAGCCTGAATACACAATATAAAATTGGCATTTTTTATATGAAATAACTTAACATCCAATTCTACATATATTTTGTTCAAGACGGAACACAAATTCTTTAGGAGTTTCATTTGATGTTAAAGAAACATGAGAGAATGATCATGTAGCATTGTTTATTTCAGCAGATAAACCTTAATTAATAAATAAAAAATAGTTAATACTATAGAAATTAATAATTGCAAAATTTTTTTATTACACATTCTTCTTTTCTTGTTATCAAAAGACAAACCTCTTTTTTTTATTTTTCAGTGTCATCTGTTTAAAAATAATCAGATTAGATATATATTTTTTTACACTATAATGTGTTTTCATATATATACATTTATTATTAATTATTTTATATATTATCATTTAATAGTCCAATCACAAGAAGTAGGAGAGAACTTTGAATTTTTGCATTTGAACTAAAATAAGCATTTGATTAAGTATTTCAAGGCAATTAACAAAGGCAATTAAAAATATAAGTTTATTTACTCTTTTAATTATTTGACTTTTTTCATTTTCTAGTATTCTTCAGAACTCTAGAATTTTTTTCTCATATTTAGCCATTATCATCAAACAAAGTGATTTCTAGGATAGTTATTAAAAAAAAAATAAAATAAAACTATTATAGTAATGATAGTAGTAAATATATTTATTATCTGATAATATTGTAAATAGCTTTGTTCAATTTGAGAGCTTTAGAAATATCAATATATGTTGATTCATTCAGCTTCTCAATTAGAACTAACTTTTAAACTATAGAATCAAATTTTGTAATAAATTATATAATAATAATTTTGTTGAAGATTAATAAATATCATAGAATAGAAACCTCATTACTAGTACTTTCTGTTTCTAATCTGGAGGTATCTCTTTTTCTGTAACTTTTCTTTTTTTAGTATTGTGTTTCCTTCTTTTTTTAGATACCTTATTATTAGTATTGTCTAAATTAGTATTGAGTTTTTGGTTCTTTGTCTTTTTATTATTGGTGGCTTAAAGTTTTTTTAAAGTTTCTAGTCATTTTAGTAAAACTGAAATCTCATTGGCTGAAAAGTCCTTATCATTCATATTTGAATCTTGCTCATCTCTGGTGTCAGTTTCTGTCATAAAGTAGTTTGACCTTTCTTTATCGCTTGCATTTGCTTTTCATTTATTCTTATTTGCTTTGTTGTTTTTATAAACCATTGTATATAGGTAATAATTTGGTTTGATTCTAATTACTATAAAAAGTGAAATTTACTTTTATACATAGAAAAAAATTAATATGTTACACAATTTAATATGTGCTTACATATGTATATATCAGTATAGTTTATTCAATTAGTAATATGATGCATATGTAATATGTATGTATAGTTTATTCAAATCAAGATAAATAAGAAACTTTTTTGATTTTTTAATTAATTTTTTCTAACTAATTAATATAATGACTAAGACACTTGTCTGGTATGCTTGTCAAATATGCTCATTGAATGAATATAGTAGATCTTTGATATTGAAAAGTGCCAGAACTCAGCATCAACAACATGATTAGTGAAATGCATAAAGTCTTAGTAATGATTCTATATTGCAAGATGATATTCAGATTCTACTCATGAATATGTCTTCACCATATGTTTCTGATAAAGAACTATCAAAGTCTGATCCAAGTTGGCAAAAAACTTTTCATAAACCCAAAGATGATTTAGCAAGTAATGATGAATAAGATAATTGTTTAGAAAGAGATAATAATCTTAATAATATTCTAGAAAACAATTTTGAATTTATGAACTAGTTAAATAGTAATGCTGAAACTATGAATTGCTCAGACTACAATAATGAATTTGTAAAGAGTTTAGAAAGTAGAGATGAATTTAAAAGTGAATTAGAGAGTGATGGATTTGAAAATGAGTCAGAAAGTATTAACAAATTTGGAAATGGACTGAAAGATGACTATGGATTTAAAGAAGTGTTAGACTATGAAAGTGAATTTGCAAGTAAATTAGAAAGTGATAAAAACAATTCAATTATAACCAATACAACTTCAACTTTAACAAGCAGTGAAGGTAATATATAATTATATTATAAATTATTATTATTATTATTATTATTATTATTATTATTATTATTATTATTTTATTACTATTATTTATTTATTTAATTTTTTTAACAACATTATTCTTATTAAATTTTAGGAAGTATACCTTTTATATCTTCTGAGATTGCTGTTATGATTCAACTTCTCCAAGTTAAAGTTAGAAGTAACCTTACTGAAGAAGCTTTTTATAATATTATAGAAGCTGTGATTATGAAACCAATGAGTTTATACCTAATTAAAAAAAAATTATTGGCACTAATCCTATTTAAACCTAAATGAATAGATATGTGTATTAATTTCTGTTATGCCTATACAAATAATTTTAGCAATCTTAGAAAATGCCCATTTTGTGAAGAAGAGTGTTATCAGAATCAATATAAAAGAAACAAGTCTCATTGCCAATTTATCTACTTTTTAATTATTGATCGTGTAGTTATTTAATATCAAAATGCAGCCCAAACAAAAAACCTATTATATCATTCAAAATATACATTAAGAACAAATTATTGTAATAAAAAAATCGGAGATGTATTTGATGGACAATGTTATAAGAATCTAGTAGAGAAAGAATATTTTAAAAACAAACATGATATTGCATTATTGGCATCAATTGATGAGTTTTAAATTTTTTAAAAAAAAACTGATAATTGCTAGATTTTATTGTTTATAAATGCCAATTTGCCTCCAGAACAATGTGTAAAAAAAGAAAACCTTCTAATTTTCATAGTTATACCTGGTTCTAAAGAACTAAAAGATTTAAACTCTTTCTTATTTCCTGCTATTTCTGAATTATGTAAATTAGCAAAAGGAGTAGAATGTTCAAGTGTTAACTGTAAAGATAAATTTATATTACATGGCCATGTATTGTCTTGGTCAGGTGATACACCTGCACTTACAAAACTAATGGGTCTCACAGGGTATAATTCATACAGAAGATGCTATTAATGTAATATAATAGGTGTCTATATGTCACATGTATATTATCCTACCAAACCACCTAGAGATAAAGAAGATGAAATTTATAATTCTGCCAATTTACCTCTTAGAACTCACAATGAGTTCAAAAAATAAATACAAGAAATTCAAGATGTGTAAGCTAAGTCTGAACAAAATCAAGCTATAAGTGTTGTAGTATTTCTAAAAGAAGTATTTTGTTTGATCTTGATAGCACTAATTTTTCAAAGACATTTTCAGTAGACATTATGCATTTATTTTACAAGAACATCGCTAGTTATATGCTTGTTCATTGAATAGATTCTTTTTTTAAAGATCCAAATTTAAATAATGATAAATACATTTTAAGCAAAGACATATGGGATACAATTGGAAAAAAAATGCACTTAGTTCAAAAAACTATTTCATCAAATCTAAGTCAACCATTATAAAATATTCTTTTGCATTATAATGGTTATAAAGCTAAAGAATGGTCTTTCTGAATTATAATATATTTGTTACTATTTCTTAAAAATCAGTTATCTAACAAGTATTATGAAGGCTCAGAATTGTTTGTGAAGGCAATTCGACTATGTCAAAAACAAATAATAACATATAATGATTTAAACAAAATTTAATCATATCTTCTAGCATTTTATTCACATAATGAAAATGAATATTACTGTGGCAGTTGAAACATTTGAGTACAATGAGGATATCTATATATAATATATTGCATATGTCAGAAAGCATTTTTCAAACAGGTCATTGCTATACAACATGGCAATATCTAATTAAAAGAGTATATTGCATGTTGCTTCTATTAACAAAGTCAAGATTACATCTATACAAAAATCTCATTAATAACATTCACATATATAAACTTTTTAATTGTTTGAAGTTTAACAAAACAATCTATAATCAAATTTTTCCAACAATTCCACCCAAAATACATAATAAACATTTAGCCTATACTAGTGAAACTGGTCAAGACTTCTATTTTCCTTTAACTTAATACAATTTAATACAAAATAAGTTGAGAAAAATAAAACAACATTTCTCTACTATATCTGATATATCTGGTTTGCAGCTTGTATCTTTTAACAAAACAGGAACAAAATATGGGTGGCTCAGAACTGTGGATGACATTATATTAGATCAAAGTAGATTCATCGAAATAAAGACTGGTTACAAGTAAATTATACAGTTATGGTTAAAATTGAAGTAAATATCTATGCCAACTATTTAAAGTAACCATCAGTATTGAGATTCAAAATTTTTATGCTATTGTTAAATATTATTTACTTTATAAATTTGAAGGGTTTAAAGTAATGTTAGCCTATATCTGATGGATGTCAACTATTGAAGAAGACAGTGTTGGGGTAAAAAAATTTAGCCAATTTGGATCATATACATTTATTAGTGCATCTGCTATTGATCATTGTATAGGCTTTGTTGAAATTGACAGGTTATTTTTTATTGTAAACAAAGAGGTAGATGATGATAATAATTTAGAAGTTGCATAACTATTAAAATTATACAATTATATAATTATTATTGCATAATTATTAGTCAAATTACAGGTCTTATATGGTTAGTAATTGTAAACAATCTGTATAAAAATTTAATATTTCATAGCAGTAACTTATATGCAATAAATAAAATTGTAATTATTCAGCAATTTTATATGATATAACCAATACAATTATAATAAAAATTCCATATAGCTAACAAACAATCTAAACAAACAAAACTACTTATCTCTGAATCTTCTGAATTAATCCAAATTACTAAAACCAAACATATCACTGACTCACATGCTCGCTATATTATCACACAGTAATTATTCCTACTCTTGAATACTGACTTCAAAATATTGTAATCAATCAATCAACTTGTAACAAAATTTTCAC